ATGGTCAATTAATCTATGACAAAGGAGGCAAGAATATATAATGGGGGAAAGACAGTTTCTTCAATAAATGGTACTGGGAAAACTGAACAGCTGCATGCAAAAGAATGAAATTGGACCACTTTCTTATACCACATACACAAAAAAACTCAAAATGGGTTAAAGACTTAAAGGTGACACCCAAAGCCATAAAAACCCTAGAAGAGAACACAGGCAGTAATTTCTCTGACATCAGCTATAGCGGTATTTTTCTAGATATGTCTTCTAAGGCAAGGGAAACAAAAGCAAAGCAGACTATTGGGACTATACCAAAATAAAAAGCTTCTGCACACCAAAGGAAACCGTCAAGAAAACGAAAAGGCAACCTATAGAATGGGGAAAGGTATTTGTAAGTGATAAATCTTGTCAGGGATTAATATCCAAAATATATAAAGAACTCCTACAACTCCATGCCAAAAAACCAAATAATCCAATTAAAAATGGGTAGAGACCCTGAATAGACATGTTTGCAAAGAATATATACAGAAGCCCACCAGACATTTGAAAATTAGCTCAACATCACTAATTATCAGGGAAATGCAAATCTAAACAATAAAGAGAATACTTCAGACTTTTCAGAATCAGACATAAAATAACAAGTGTTGCTGAGACTGTGGTGAATAAGGGAACACTTGTGCACTGTTGGTGGGAATGTAAGTTGGTGGCACTGTGGAAAACAGCATGGAGGTTCCTCAAAAAATTAAAAATAGATATACTATATGGTCCAAGAATTCTAGTAGATATTTGCCCAAAGAAAGTGAAAACATTCATTCAAAAAGATATATGCATCCCTATGTTTATTACAGCATTATTTACAATAGCCAAAACATGGGAGCAACTGAAGTGTGCATCGATGGATGAACAGACAAGGAAGATGTGGTATATAAATACATGTATATGTACATAACCAATATTTAGAGAGGACAGGATATTACACAGCCATAAAATATGATGAGGGCTCAGGGGTGTCTGGGTGGCTCAGTCAGTCAAGTGTCCGACTCTTGATGCTGGCTCAGGTAATGATCTCACAGTTGTGAGATCGAGCCCCACATCAGGTTCTGCACTGAGCATGGAGGCTGCTTGAGATTCTTCTTCTCTCTCTGCCCTTCCCCCACTCACTCTCCCTCAAAATAAACTTTTTTTTAAAAAAAGGATGAGATCTTGCCAATTATGACAATAAGGATGGAACTAGAGGGTACTATGCTAAGTGAAATAAGTCAGAAAAAGACAAATATCTACGATGGTTGCCAGAGTAGAGAGGGGGAGGAGTGTGGGCAGAATGGCTGAAGGGGAGTGGGAGGTACAGGCTTCCAGTTATGGGATGAATAAGTCACAGGAATAAAAGGTACAGCACAGGGAATATAGTCACTGGTACTGTAATAATGTAGGGTGACAGACGGTAGCTACACTTGTGATGGGCACAGCATAATACATAAACTTGTGATTCAAACTTGTGGAATCACAAAGCTGTACACCTGAAACGAATGTAACATTGTGTGTCAACTATACTCAAATTAAAAAAATGAAAACTTAAAAATAAAAGTAAAAATTCAAAACTTTATTTCACTCCACTCTTCTCACTTGTTCATAGCTTCTAAGAACTCAGATGTAATTCTTACCTCTTTGCTCATCTATAAAGAAGTCATATCCCTCCCAGATTGTTCCTTAATAAAAATTTAAAATAGCCATTTCTTTTTTTTAATGTTTTATTTATTTCTGAGAGACAGAGAGAGAGAGAGAGAGAGATAGCATGAGAAGGGGAGGGACAGAGAGAGAGGGAGACACAGAATCCAAAACAGGCTCCAGGCTCTGAGCTAGCTGTCAGCACAGAGTCCGACGTGGGGCTCGAACCCACGAACCATGAGATCATGACCTGAGCCGAAGTTAGACACTCAACCAACTGAGCCACCCAGCCCCCCCTCCCCCCAATAGCCATTTCTTAAAAGAAGGAAAGAGATCAGACATGTTTTAGGAATTGCTTAACACCCAGGGCTTGGAGCACAGGATGCACACAAACATCTGTCGGGATTGATCAATTAATTAATTATTTAAAACAAATGAATGAGAGCATGATATGATCAATAGTGGCAGACTTCCAAATCCTGCTGGGAAGCTCTTTATGCTGAGAGCTTCTGGGTTCAGCCCTGGAGCACGCGGTCTACCTTCTCGGCCCTGGAGATGGGGCTTTATAGGATATCACTTGTCTGCTAATTTCTCTGGGAAAGTTTCAAACTCAAAAACCCACCCTCTGATCGTGCTGTGGCTCTACAAACACAGGCATATCTCATTTTACTGCACTTTGTCACACTTTGCAGACGCTGCATTTTTCACAATTTAAAGGCTTATGGCAGCCCTGCGTCAAGCAAGCGAATTGGCACCAGTTTTCCAACAGCATTTGCTTGCTTGTTTCTGTGTCACATTTTGGGAATTCTCAAAATGTTTCAAAGGCTTTCATTATTATGTTTGCCACTGTCATCCATGGTCAGGGTTTACCACTTGCTGAAAGCTCAGATGATGGTTAGCATTTTTTAGCAATACACTATTTTTTATTTAAGGTAGGTACACTGCTTTTAAGACATAATGCTACTGCACACCTAACAGGCGGCAGAACAGTGGAAACATAACATTTATATGCACCTGGAAACCAAAAAATTCATCTGATTAGCTTTACTGTGCTACCCATTTTGTGACGTGGTCTGGAACTGAACCCACAGTATCTCCGAGGCCCCTTCTGTAATAAAAGCAGGCCCTGGTCACATGCATGTCAGCTGTTGCAGTCCCCAAGACAATACTTTGTCATGGTAAATTAATAAAGCAGTGTTGGGTTGTGATCTGGCATCCCATATAAACTGACTTCAGGGAGAAATGTAATAAAAATACTAAAACAACGTCTGATAGCTGGATCTCTCTTTATAAATTAATAAATTGGAATTCTGACATTAAAAAAAAAGAAAAAGGCTGTCCACTTTATATTTGAAAAAAACTTAAAAAATAGGACATATGGGTCATTAGAATTAGATGACAGAGGGCATTTTGGCAATACGTATATACAACCTACAACCTTTACTTTTTTTTAATGTTGATTTATTTTTGAAGGAGAACCAGAGTGTGAGTGTGGGAGGGGCAGAGAAAGAGGGAGACACAGAAGAACCTGAGGTAGGCTCTAGGTTCTGAGCTGTCACCACAGAGCCCGACACAGGGCTCAAACTCAAGAACTGTGAGATCATGATCTAAGCCAAAGTTGGACGCTTAACTGAGCCACCCAGGTGCCCCACAACCTGCAACCTTTAAAATGTACATAGCACTTGACCCAGAAATTCCAGTAATAGGAATTCATCCTAAGAAAATGATCATAAATGCATGTTTAAATTTAGTCTCAAGAATGCTAACTGTAGCACTGTTTACAACAGAAACTGGAAGCTTAAATATTCAATAACACAGGATTGAATAGATAGCTTGTAAAAGCTTCTTTTCTACTAAGAAATAATCTGCAGGGGCTTAGTTAGTTGAGCATCTGACTCTTGATTTTGGCTCAGGTCATGATCCCAGTGTTGTGTGATAGAGCCCCATGTCAGGCTCCACACTGAGCCCCCCCCCTGCCGCTCACACTCCCAAAGAAAGAAAAGAGAAAGACCCTGCAGCCTTTCAAAATATCTTATCAAATAGAATAATAATTAATGGCTTGGAAAAAAGGTTCATCATATGCTGAAAGCAAAAAGTGGGGTAAGAATCAATATTCATTAACAGTAATGGCTGGCTAGGTGGTGGTGTCATGTGATTTTTATCTTCCTAAGTTTATCTGCATTTTGTAAATTTCCTCGAGAGTCATTTTGAAAAATGTTTCCATACAATAAATTTTAACCCGTCACAAAAAGACAAAACTATATGATCCACCTGTATAAGGTACCTAGAACAGCCAACTTCACAGAGACAGGAAGTAGCAAGGGAGTTGCCAGGGGCTGGGCGGGGGAGTTACTCTTTAATGGGTGCAGGGTTTCAGTTTTGCAAGGTGGGTGGTGGTGACGGTTGTACAACAGTGCGAAGGTGCTTAATGCCCCTGAACTGTACACCTAAACAGACTTAAGATGGTAAATTGCATGTTATGTTCAATTTATCACAATGTTTTTAAAAACAGGAAAAACGCTACAAAATTTAAATCAGTAAATGCGAAGTGCCACTAGATCTAGAGGTGTCCTAGTTACCAGGATTTCGAAGAGACAGGAGTCGCCAATGTAATATAATGTGTCAACTATGCTTCAATTAAAAAAAAAAAAAAAAAAGAGCTCTAGGGACAGGAGTAGAGAAGGTGGAACCTGACCATGAATCACACGGCACTGAGCAAGACAATCCATGGTGCCCACCAGGGCTGGAGCGTGCCGCGGGACCAGCGAGCATCTGCCTTGTCTCCTGACTACCAGTGCTGGCCGCCATGTTTCCTGTCTCTTCCTTCGCAAGCATGGAGTTTTCCTCCTCTCTCGCTACTGTCTCCCAGTTTGATTCTCAGAAGGAGCTGATTTGGCTGTCCCTGAAGCATGATTTCCAGAGTCTGGCTACAGGAACCATATCCTCTGTACGCCATGGGTTAAGGGACGTGCCTCCAGAGCCCTTCAGCTAGTCACTGGTAGAGCCAGGCAAAGAAGAGAATCAATCTCACTTTAAAGTCAAGTTAATTCACCTCTGTACCACTGAAGAAAGAAGTAGATTCAGCAAACAAAAACTCCCCTTTTCCTCACCAAGAGGACGCCAGGACTTTGCAAGGGGAAGGGAGGTGCAATGCCTGCTTTCTGATGGTGGGGAACCTGAGAACCCCAAGAATGCAGAGCTGTGGGCCGAGGGCTGTGCGTGGCCTGTGGCTGCAACTTAACAATCCTACAATGGTGGATGTGGAGTTTCAATATCTAAGAAGTCCAAATCCTTCAGAGTTAACAGGGCCAGGGAGAGACAGAGACTGATGCTTTCCTTACCTGCTGTAGGCACGCTAACGTTATACTGAGGTAATATAAATAGGAAGGCAGTCTTGGCGGTGACCTGTAAAATAAAGGGAAAATGTTCCAATTTAGCTTCTTGGTCACATCAAAAGAAACAAGTGGATCCTGCTACCAGCCCCCTGGGCCCACCCCTTTTGCATCCTGGACCCAGAGACCTGTCCAATGAAGGGTTTTACCTAATGAGGAGTTCGTACTGTTGGTCTGTTTCCCCATTTTCCTTTAATGACGTGCCTCCCAATACCTGCACTAAAACCAAACAGCACGGGGCCCTGGATGGTATCTAGACCTGGACCCACTGCAGATGGAACGAAGACAAGCTATGCTTGGCAGCCGTGAGCAAGGGTACAAATCTGCCTGCCATTCATTCAAGTATGTACTACATTCATTCTAGGTATGTCGCGTTGTGGAAGACAGGAACTATCTAACAGAAACTAACAGAACTAACAGAAATGAGGACACGGACGTCAAGAAGCGTCGGATCTAGCTGGGGTTCCCCCAGCACACGGGCTAACCACACAGTGGACAGCGGCCCCAAAAGTCTACACCTGAGCTTCAGAAACAGAGAACTCCAGCTGCTAATCTCACTTCTAGCGTGTTGTGGCACACAGGCCAAGACATAAGGCCTCCCACTCTGGCCTGTTTATTTTGAAAGCTGCCTTTAAATAAAATCTTGTGCTGTGACAAATCTATGGTTGTCACCCGTGTTATTAATAGCCAAATCAGTACCCGGCAATCCAGCCTGTGGGGAAGAGATGACACAATGTGGGGACTCAAAGCTTGGACTGAAGGACCGACTATCTGGGTTCAAATGCTGCCTCGGCTATTTGCGAGGTGTAACCTTACACCGAAGCCTCAACTTCCCTGTCCACAAAATCAGGGACATTTGTAACATCCCAGCTGATCTGGGTGGTGCTGGCCCAGCTGTGGCTGTGGCTGAAGGCTCTCCAGATATTTCTGATGTGCGGCTGGGGCTCAGAAGCACCGCCCACACTGCTGTGGAGCAGGGGAGGAGGCCAGGAGAGGAGGGGGTCCCTGGATACGCCGCAGCAATAAAGACTTGCTGGTTCTCCTCTAAACAAAAAGGTTTGAAGCTGTACCAGGGGTGTGGGGGAAACACACTGGGCGGGACAGAACGCAGCGTGGAACCAAGACCCTCCCAGGGGTTGGGGGGGACTCCCAACACACCCAGGGGGAGGTGACTGTCCTCGGAAGCTCTCCCCATCACTGAGACCCATTTCTCTGCAGCGGGGTGTCATTTGCTCTTTGTATAGAGCGATGCACAAGCCTTCTCATGTATTTGTGCTGTTGTCTTGGACATGTTCTGTCATGCTCACAGGGAAAAAGTCAAATGAGACTAAGGATAAGGCGCTCTGGAAAACAAAGCCCTATCGACATTCACAGGTCTTCCCCAATCTCCACCCCAAAATCTTATTACTATGGTCCACAAGACCTTTTTCAGGGTGCTCCCCACCTCCCTTCTAGTCCAATGGCCTGTGTTTCTTTTTTTCAAAAAAAAAAAAAAATTTTTTTTTTTTTTGAGAAAGAGGCAGAGAGAGAGGAAGCATGAGCAGGGGAGGGACAGAGATGGGGGGAGACAGAATGGGGGATCCAAAGTGGGCTGCTGGCTGACAGCCGAGAGCCAGATGTGGAGCTCAAACTCACAAACCGTGAGATCATGACCTAAGCCGAAGTCAGACACTCAACTGACTGAGCCACCCCGGTGCCCCCAATCGCCTGTATTTCTTTAGAACAGATGGACACTGTTTTAGCCAAAATGTGCTACCCATTATTTTTCTTTTTGGGGGTTTTGGCCCCTCTCATTTTGTATCCTACTACTGTTACATACCCTCCCTCCTCAATTCTATTGATCAGAATTTCATTTATCCATCATAATCCAGGTCAACTACCGAGCCTCCCCTAACTGCTCACAGGATGGGATGCTTTCTTCTGCTGGGAGCACCCTGTACTGCCCCCTGATACCATGTTTTCTGTCTACTCCTTGTACCTGCTGAGCGTCACTCCTTGCACACAGGGACTAACCCAGAAGCACACAGGAAGGGCTCAGTAACTGCTCACTGGACAAGATGGAAAATTGAAAGCTGAGTCTGTGCTGGCTTGCTTCACTCAACTGCTCTGTTCCTACTCCTTAGCAGGAGCTGCCCAGTGCTATTACACTGGTAGTCCTCTCTGTCACCCACAGCCTTTTCCTTGACACCAATCTGGCTGCTATACCACCTGAATGCATGCTGTCAGGACCCCCCACCACCACCACTTGAGCCACGGTCGGGTCCCCTCCTGCTCATCCTTGACCCAACTGCCTGACTCTATAACTGTCCGCCATGACTTCCTTTGAGAGTCAGCCTTGTCTTCTCAGGCTGAAATCCCTGCAAGGGAAGACAAGGAAGCCAGAGGAAGTGGGAGAAGGGAAGACAGAGGAGAAAGGCAGGCAGACAAGCAAGAAGAAAATATTTACCAAACACTACATATGTTCTAGGCACAAATCTCCATTCAGTGTAATTCAGGAAACATATCCATCTTTTAACTTCTAGAGTAGAGTGGACCTCCACAAGGTTTTGGCTGCCCAGTATCCACTCCCTGCTCCCTGAGAGCATCACCTGTCCCGAGCTGTGTGTTTTACGTGTGTGCATGTATGCATCCATGTTTGGGGGTCACCCTGATGACCACCTTCCTCCTGGAGGAAGACCAAGATACAAACCCCCCAGGACAGAAGACCAGCCAATCAGATGCTTTTCCCTGGACTCAGAAACGTGAGCAGGAATGTAGGAATTGCTAGTCAGTGCTGGGTGCCTATCAGATTCTTCCTCTGCAGTTCTCACTGCCCTGCCTTAGAGCACCTCAAGCCCCCATCAACTGCATGAACCCCCAGAGAGCCTCCTTAAGTTGGCCAGAGTCCATTCCTAAGATACATTATTGTTCCAGGTATCAAATACCGGTGTTCAACTCTAGCTCACACATTTGAATTCCTAGGTAAGCTTTTAAAATCTCTATGCCTGGGCCACCCCCCATCCATTAAACCTGATCCTTTGTGGCATGAGCGTGTTGCTAAGCTCCCCAGAGCGCTTCCACGTGCAGCCAAGTCTGCAAGGCCACTCACGCAGACTCGCTCTCACCACCTTGTCCAAGCAAGGCTGTCAGGCTCTCTCTCTTGGAAATTTTCCTGTGCCTTTCACAGAATTTAGTTAATCAATTTATGTCTTAAGTACATTTTTATGTTAACTTCTAAAGAAATATACATACTTTAAAAAAAAAGCTGAACAATCCAGGGGCACCTGGGTAGCTCAGTCGGTTAAGTGTCCAGCTCTTGATTTCAGCTCAGGTCATGATCTCATGGTTTGTGGGTTTGAGCCGCACATGGGGCTCTGTACTGGCAAGAGTGGACCTGCTTGGGATTCTCTCTCCCTCTCTTTCTGCCCTTCCCCTGATCTCTCTCTCTCAAAATAAATAAATAAACTTAAAAAAAAAAAAAAGGAACAACTCAGAAATAGTAAAGTAAAAACCTACCATCCTCTCTATGTTCTTTGCTCTCCTCCCTTCTGCGCCCATATTCATGTCTCCCTCCCTATGTTAGATGGCAATTCTGTGAGAGCTTTTCCTATGCATGTATCTATTTGGAATTTATCTCCTTTTATTTTGACATTATGACTTGAACTGTGTTTATATAACTTGACACAAGGGATGAAAGAGTGAAAAAATTTAAAAAGAGCTACAACCTATAAATAATATTTAAGTCACATTTTTAGCTCAGTATCATATGGACCAAGATACAAATCTATTCAACGTATATCAGAGTGTCTGGAGTACAGTTACTTACATGGAGAATGTGCAGGTCAACTTTTCTTTACTAATGTCAACATATAAATAACTGGCTATGTAATAAAAATTTCCTTATACATTCTAGTGCTTTTCATTAATATTTCCCACATGGTCAACAGATATTTGACACCAAAAAGTTCAGCAGAATAAAATGAGCTCTGACAATGGATATAAATGTATATAGTCCACTACTCTCACTACTGAAGAATCATCTCACTTTATTTTTTCTTTGAAGAAGACAGACATTTGCTATATGGACTATACATACATATATTCTTTTCCTGGTCCTAAATATACAGTTAATTCTTGTTATTCACAGTAGTTCTGTTCAATGAAGTCATTGCAGACACTGAGTTAACAAACACTGGACCACTCCTCCCAGGAGAAATACAGAGTTAGGTACCAACAGTCTGGTCACAACATTTCCATCAACCAATCAATACAGAACCTTGTTTATGTGCGCTTTTATGTAAAGATGCTGCATTCATAATATATTGCTGACACATGAACACTGAACTCACGGCCAACAGCGCTATAATTCATGCCTGAAGAAGCCTATCTAACACACCCTGTCCTCTGTGAGGCGTATCAGGGCCTTCTCACTCTTAGGAATGACAGACAGCACTTCAGCTCCAGGAGTGAGGGCCATTTTAAACAGCAAAATCACCAATAAAAAGCACAAAAACGCAACAACAAAAAAACCCTCAAAAACAACACCAAAATGTGGCACTGGATAGACCACAAAAAAGACACTCACTTACAACAGGGGATCTGAAACTAGAAGGCAAAGCGTGGTCTTGTTTGGTATCAGCTGGGAATGTGCTCATTGGATGACTCTAATTTTCCATTGCTCTGTGCATGTTCACAACCACACAATCGCCCAGTGTTGATGTCAGAGTCACAAATAAATTTTAGCAAGGAGGTGCATCGGCAGACACAAAACGTGTGAAGGATGAGGATCAACGGTTGGGACAAACCTGACTGCCGACTCCATGAAGGCCATGATTTTTTTTTTAACACCTTTTTGAGGTATAATTTACACTCTATGAAGTTTGCCCATTGTAAGTGTATAGCTTTATAGGGTTTATCCTTACTTGTTTTTAGACTCTCCCTTCACTGGAATACAAGTTCTAGGAAAGTGCGATCTTACTCGTCTTGTTTATCTCCAATCCATTGCCTATAACGGTGCCAAGGACAGAGACAGCA